AGTTCTCCTGTTTCTGTTCTACAGTGGGAATTGGCGCCGACATGTTTAGAACCAGTGTCAAGATGAGCCCGGCCGACATCAACACTTGATAGGATACGAGTCCCCTCCACTTCGGGAGATGTCCCCTTCAAGGGATAAGTTTTTTTTTTTTTTTTGGTGTGTTTGAACTTTAAGGGCAAAGTTTTTCAAAAACGTCCTTGGCGGTAACAGTAAAAGACAACGTCGGGTCTAAAATTTGAACTCTCAGGGCCTTGGAAATTGTTTCCCTTTCCTTTCTTTTGAATTACCAGGACAAACCTTGAAGGTTTTTTTGTGAATTTGGGTGAAAAGGACTCTCAGGATGAGGGTTAAGGATTTTTCTTATTGTGATTGTAATTGAATGGACTGATATTTTTGGTCTGGAACCTCTTACAGTATGTGTTTTCTTTGTATATTTAATGTGAACTTTTCCTATATGTGTCTTGTATATGTTTTTCTTGTGTTTCGATCCTCTCACGGCGCGGTCCCGGGGTGCATTTTTTTCACAACGCAAAAATGCTGTACACGTTTCACTGTACGATCACTGCCTTTGACGGCAAGTAGGTTTCGTGTTTGACATTTGGCAATATGGGAGTTTCAGATATAACATGGTACCTTGAAGTAAAGCTATTTAACCTTGGTCTCGAAACCTCTCTATATAACAGCTCGAAGAAGAAGGGTATTTTGTGGATATTTTCGTTAGACATGACTAACAGCAGGAACCTTTACATTTAGGCTTTTGTCTTATAATGTATGTTCTCCCAATATTTTGCATGCCTTCGTGGTGTAACGGTAACACACTCGACGCGTATTCGAGAGGTCTAGGTTTGAGTCCCGGCAAGGGCATTGCTCATTTCATATCGCCTGCTTTAAATTAACCTAATGGCTCTATAGCTTTAATTAGATTTCGATACCATTTAAAACTACCAATCAGCTGTCTTATAAACTCAGTAACTAAAGGAAAAAGTACACGTTATCTTAGATCATATATCAAAATTATCAACCATTGTATAATGAATGATATTAAGAAATCTTATTTGATGATTGACGCTATATATAATTTCGTTTATTTCGAATATAAACGTGGAAGATATTTAAAGTTTGAATAAACAGCGATTAAATTCAGTGATTTAATTTCTAGATTTAGCCATTAATTCCAGCCTTAGATGATTAAACAAAGCTTCGTAAACTTGAATGATGCCAACTGTTAATTTATTTTCTCAGTCGATATCTAGAAGACTGAGCTCCGAAGCTTTCCTGAAAGCGATAAAGTTCATTGCATGCTAATTGTATCATATCATGAATAATTTATATAAGCATTGGCCAGCATTTTGAATTGCACAAATGGCAACAAACTGAGGCGTATTGCGGAATGTTTCAGAGGGTTTGAGGTATTAGTGCCGAATATTAGTGTGGACTGCGTCATTCTTCTGTTCTCTTCCTTATTGTTAGTATTCCTCTCTTAACCTAAACCATTCGCGAAGATAGTACCAGCTTAAAGCGTAGGAATATGAGGAAACTTAAGAAACGAGCTTTAGTTTAAGTAAATATTATAACCATGAATTCTTTTTGTGTTTTTAGGAACTTACCTTAAAGCTTTAAGTTTCTCAGAATTCTAAAATGCTTCTTAGATATGCCAAGTATTTTGCAGACGCAATAAACGTGCTAATCGATAGGGATAAAAATTTGTAATCCCCAAAAATACTCATCTGCCTATCGGAATGAATGTTTTCGTAGAGATCATTTTATGAGAAGAGCCGCATTTATATTACGCACGTATGAAAATTTCATGCATCCAACCATTTCAATATCGGGAACTGAAATGAAGGCGAAATACCAAGTTTTTATCGATTTAGCCACTGGTTACTTCTTTTGTAAGACTGTAAGGTACTTCTACCGCCTTCTTTTCATGCCTTCGGGGTGTAATGGTCGACACACGCGGCGCGTATTCGACAGGTCCGAGGTTCGAGTTCATTGCTCAGTTTTCATGTCTCTCAGCATCAAAACTCCTAATGTTTCTACAAGTCTATTTTATTTAAAGTAGAATTAAATATTTCTAACGATTTAAGAGTGAACTTTTCATCTCAGTTGATAAAGAGAGCACTCGGTTAATAAAGAGGAGTCTTGTTCTGGTTAACAAACGCAACGGCGCTTAACAGATTGGTAAGATTTCAAATTAAAGCCTATTGATGTATTTCTCAATCGCTTATATGCTACATATTTTCTTATACATGACTCTATGAACCATTTATATATCAAACTACTTTGATAAAAAGCTGCACTTTAGCTGCTTGAAAGATCTTTGCAAGTGAGATATTTAAAGAAGATACATGAAGTATTCAAAATCTTACAATGCATCGTTTGAAACTAATAATTAAAAAGGAAAACCTTTTAATATATAGGTTTCTCAATGTCCAAATCTAAAATCTTTGGAAATATAAGACCGGTCAATACATTCTGGAAGAACCACAATGAATTGAATGATTGCATTAAAAATTTGAGCTAAATTTCCATTTTATTTTCAGATTTGTTTGATCCTGCAAAAAACAGACAACTCTGCATTGATTATTTATATCTTTAGACGAGGATAATACCATAAAATCGATAAAAAATTGTTTGACATTAAATACAAATATTCGAATCGAATTTTGAAAAATTAGGTTTCCATATAACGCCTTTCCTCGAAGAATCTAAGCACCTAAATTCTCAGTTATAGATGTTTTTGCCTCTGAATAATTATATTAATACGAAATAAAATTCAAAATTTTATTCTGAAAGAAAAGAGAACATAAAGTTTTTTTTTAAGTATAATTTCCTTTTATTACAGTGCATTTTTCACATCCTTTAAATAGCAGTTCTTTACACTGAATAAAGTTATTTGAAGATTTGTTAAGAAAATATTCTATAACTGCTCTCTATCTTAACTTCTTCATTACTATTAAAACTTAACCCGCAAAGCCCAGATGTGAGTTTTAAGAATAGATAATAGTCACCTGTAAACTCTACATGGACTGCAGAAGGAATTCAAATTTCTTTACTTCTGTTTTGACAACGACATCTGTACAGATTGGAGCTTTATCATGGAGGAGAAAAATTCCTAGGAGCAACATTCCGTGCGTGCCTTTTTTTAAATTTCACAGAGCAATTCATGCAAAAGAAAACTAGTAATATATTTCCTATTTCCGATTCTTTCTTTTAAATGAAGTCTATCGTAAGGATTCCATGCCATTTCCAAACGTTCATTTCAGTTTGCTCTAATTTCTGCAATTTTGGTTTCCTTGACAGCAGATCCTGCAGTTTACTCTACTCATTCTCTCTTTGATGAGTTATAATTATATAGAACTTGGTTGACTTAAAATGTTCTCTAATTTGGATTTTACAGCTGCAGTAGCTGATGTCGAGGCTCCTGTCTTGCAGATATCTTGTTTATACGAAATATTCATACAGAATGTGCAAAACAATTGTTTCAGAGAAATAATTGCTTCCACTTTGGCCTTTTAACCTACTGCCATCAAAACTTTCTTCCCTATCGAGAACAATAATTTCTTAATCAATCCTTCCAATGTTCGATATCAATGAGGAACATCTGCAATAAAGTCTCTTCCCATACAAATTTACTTTCCTGCTCTTTTACTATAGAGTATGGCATTATCATAAAAATCATCTAAATTTCGCCTTATTCCATTAGAATTTAAGATTAAAAAACTTTAACTATAATATATATAACTTTAAATAATTTAGATAAACTTGTGAAACACTTTATTCAAACAACTCTCACAAAAGAATTAAAATGGCTATAGTAATGACGCTTTCAAATTTACTTTATCAAAGTTGCCCCAATATATGTATAAGAAAACGTGTCAAACGAGTTTCAAATGGAAGCCTGGAAGCACTAAATGTATTCAGACAGACATGCTCTTAGCTAGGGATGGGGTAGAAATAATAATAAAAAAGAAGGCTGTTCAAGATGAGATAGAGCGATGTCTTATGTAGAACAGGTTACATGATAATCGGTGAAAGAAATCTCTTTGGCGCCGCTGTGAAATTTTAATGCAACATACTATAAAAATGCGAGAACTGGCTTAATTGTTTTATCTTTCTTATTTTAAATGAGACTAAAGAGCCTTTTTTTAAAGATAACTTCAAGATAGGATAAATTGTATGAAGTCTGATTTCAGAATTTCAACATATTAGACGTAGAAGGATAACATCTCCAAATACTGGTAAATTATATTAGATATTAGGAATAAACTTCATTTAGAAATTTATATTTCAATTTATCCGATGGTGTGAAGACTTTAGCTGTGATTAGTTTGAATGCTGTGCATCGATCTGTGCAATATATCAGTAATGAATTTCTTATTCCTAAATAACTAACTCCAAATCGAATTTTGCAAACATTGATTCAAAATGCACTCTACTTCCATTTAGAAGAGCTACTTAGAAAATTCCTAGCTGTGAGATCTACTGTCCCTGCTCTCACAGTTCTTTCTAAGGTGCTCATGGACATGGACTCATAGACATGGACACGCATATATATATTTTGATTCTTTCTTTTGTCGTTAGACACATTAGTATACACTGATAGTAATAAAACATCATATTGCTTTACTGCTAAAAGGCTGCATGTAGCTTAAGATGGGTTAATAACAGAGGGGCAACAATTCTTCTATCATATGATTGACGCACTGGTGTCTTAGTCTGCTGGAGATTTTACGAACTGTAAAGGCAGTGATGAATATGGTACTGCAATACCAGCTGCTGTAAACGTATGAAGTTGTGAAAAATACGCAGCTAGAGTGTCTTTATAAAATGCACAGACCTTAAGAATAAATCACCTCATACACAGATATTTTTCTGATTTTGAGGTAGAAGAGCTTTTCAAAAATTCGTTGAATGATGAATATCATGTTAAAAAAGGATGCATAGTAAAATATAAGTAGCTTACATTAAAAATAAATTAATTAGTTATAAATACTTACGGCTGATATTTAACACTAGCTCTTGACTAATACCTCTACCTTCTTCGTTAATAGCATAACATTTATAGCGTCCTCTATTACGACGAGTCAATCGTTTGAAGACTAGAGTATTGCCACTGACCACATCAATTCGAGACTCGTTATGGGACAAGGGCAGGTCATTGAAGAGCCATCCCACTTTTAGCAGAGGTGGATTTGCATCTGTGTCGCATATTAATCTTACAAAATCGTCTTCTTTTGGTTGGCGATCTGCTTCCTCCTTTATCAAACGGAGAGACACTTGAGGTACATCTATAAGAGAAAGAAAACCACTGTTTAGTTTTTAAACTTTAAAATGTTTCACCAAACGCTTGTAATTAAAAATGCTAACTAGGAGAATGCAGAAGGTACTGCAAGAAGAGGCTACATTAAATTCAGAAGTTACGAAAAGCCATTTAGAAGTTAAAGCCATTATGAGATTTTTTACTACGCATTAAAGGTTTTGAAAGAATAAGCATCTGCTCCAATCAATAACAATAAGCTAACTCTTATTCCTTCCTTTCCTGCAGTCAGTTACAAAATTGAGTATATTTTAAAGAAATTCCTTAATGGCTCAATTCCTAATATGAATTCTTGGCAAATGTGTACGATTCCTTGTCACTGCTGCTTAAGATAGGCTGGATAAACAAAATAAAATTTCACTTTAGAAGACCTGAGTCTTGTTTGAACAAAGGAAGCAAACAAATCTGCTGTTGACCAGCATTGTTGGAATTCAAATTATAAACTTAGTATTGCTCATACCAAAATCATCCAAAAACATGTTTAGGTAGTTAAAGAGGTGTCCTTGTGCCTTTCCATATCCATAAAAATCTTTTTACCTTAGTCAATGACCTGAATTTTAATTCAATTTTCCTACCTATTTTCACGCAGATAATTTCTGATTCCATTTTTAATTTCTAGAGGGAACCGGTTTCCATTTTTAGCTTCATAATTCCCCCCTTCGTTACTAAGGACATGATTAGCTCGCATGTGCTCGAAAATCTTTCAATCTTTCCATCGGTCTGAGATACTTCTCTTTTATTTAATTGTAACTGAAAAAAGCAATAGCGTTTGAAGGTTTTTGTTGTATCCCCCCCTAAAAAACATTTGCTGAGAAAAAAGCTTTTATTGACGTATGAAAAGAAGCTTTTATTTTTTATTAGGAATAAACTTCATTTAGAAATTTATATTTCAATTTATCCGATGGTGTGAAGACTTTAGCTGTGATTAGTTTGAATGCTGTGCATCGATCTTTGCAATAAATCAGTAACGAATTTCTTATTCCTAAATAACTAACTCCAAATCGAATTTTGCAAAAATTGATTCAAAATGCACTCTACTTCCATTTAGAAGAGCTACTTAGAAAATTCCTAGCTGTGAGATCTATCATCCCTGCTCTCACAGTTTTTTCTAAGGTGCTCATGGACATGGACTCATAGACATGTCCATGAGCCGATTAGCTTAAAAAGGTTTTTATTGATTCTAAGAAAAGGATTACCTATTGACTCTAAGAAACCAATTAGCTTGTTGATTCTAAGAAGCCAACAGGTTTCTTAAAGTCATGGTTCAACTTACACTCCTAGATTAAAAAATATTGAGCCGCCCAACAGGTATACTGATTAGCGTCACTGACTGCCGTGACGTAGGGCCCGGGTTCGAATCCTGGAGAAGGCATGGGTGTTTGTAAATGTATAGTGTCGGTGCAGCATGGCGGCGCTCTAGATATGCGGCGAGCAGAAAGACCTCTCGTGTGGTTTGGTGGAAGGGGTGAGGAGTGGGAGACCCTCAGACACGTCTTCCCGGGGTGCTCTCCATCAAAATAATGGGCGAAACTGAGCTAAATCACACTGTTATTTGAAAAGTGCTCATCTGTAAAGTGCATGGTTGACCTGGCTTTTAAATTTCAAGAATCTCGAAGGCTAACTAGTTAGATGAATACAGGGACACCAGCGACATCACGTCACCATCCGTCATCAGAAAGGATCATCGCATGGCACACCGATCCCTGTTTAGAAGACCCCACCCAGAAAACTGCGGATATTTTTTCAGGGTCGACACGAAATAAAGCTGCTTATCCCGATCGCACAACTTCAACATCGGCTGATCGACGAAGAAATCAGGAAAAAACGGCAATATTACCTACCTGGCAGGACATTTAGATTTACATTTCTGGGACAAAACACTATATCGCTTTCTGAGACTCATTCCATATACGAAAGGCGTCTTACACCGGAAGTTGGAGACGGATCATGGAAAGGAATTCCGATGACAGCAGATACTTCCAAGATCCGGGATCCCGGACGTCCTCAAAGAATTACACAGAAGTCTACTTAATAAAATAATGAAGACTGCAAGTATTATGATAACGCTTCTGCTGGAGTAATACCAGGGCTGACATGCAAAGTGGTGCCAAACTTGCGGTGCCTGTGCGACTCGGAGAGGACCTGAGAAACGCAGCCGAGGGAATCTACAATGTAGGAATCTTACAATGTAGGAATGCCTTTCGGAACGTATCTCCTTTGACATCCTGGGATCTCTGCCACGAAATGCGAATGGCGATAAATACATCCTCGTTGTCACTGATTATTTCACCAAGTGGCCTATCCTATTCGTGATCAAGAGGCAATCACGGTAGCAGAGGTAATGATACAGCTCTGGATGTCCAGGTTCGGAATGCCTCTTAAGTTACACTCCGATCAAGGAAGAAATTTAATCTCGGCTGTTGTTAGAGAACTCTGTAAGTTACTCGGCATCGACAAAATCCAAACAACACCTTTACATCCCCAGTCACACGACATGGTAGAGAGGTTTAGTAGAACCATCCTTAATAACCTCTCGCTGGTGGTTTCCAAAAACCAACAGAACTGAGATAAGAATTTATCCCTGCTTTTACTGGCCTATTGCAGTGCGGTCCACGAGACTACCAGATATATATCATAGCACATTCTCTTCGGTAGTGACCTTCATCTGCCTTGTTATCTCTTGTTTAGTCACCTTCCGGATGCGCTTTCTTAGCCTGATGAGTATATATAAGTTCACCAGGCGCGATTTGAAGTGATGCACAGTTCTGCACAAGAGAGTGAACGTGAAGACTGAGAAAATGAAGACCCGATACGACACGAGAGCATCAGGCCATCGATTCAACGCAGAAGACGAAATGTGGTTGTGGAATCTGATTAGACGAAGAAGATTCTTCTAAACGACAATCACCTTGAGATAGTCATTACACAGTCCTAAACAGGCTGAACGACGGTAAAGTTCGGATCCATAAGTAATCGAATTCTAAGCCTAAAGTCGTTCATTACGACAGACTAGCCCCTTACTAAGGTCATATTTCGCAGTCCCTGTAGCGTATATAATGCAAATAGAATACTAAAAAAATGGATGGCCATATTTGTGTATACGTTTTTTAATATATGCATTTATTTGTTGGTTTAGTATTTGATTTGTTTTATCTCATTTATTGCAGTTATTGCTTAATTATTTCATGGATTTGCCTTAGTTGTAAATTTGGCTTCCTGTCTAGGGATTGTACTGCTCGGGACGTACAGTCCTTGGGAAGAGGATGATAATACAAATTTTATACTATATGGATAATTAAGGTGAAATTACATGTGGAATTGTTGTGTTCTTCTATAGAATGTAACATGAAAACGTATATGCGGAAAAAATAAGAATACAGAGAGTCTATTTAACATTGATTAAATGAGTATCTCGCTAAATTGGTGTGATATCATCAAGTTAGTAACGGTTTTGAAGACTAATTTTTGTCGTAATATTCGATGAAAAATTGCCAAACATGGCGACAATTTAACGACATTTTGATAAAGTCCTTGTATAACCGTAATAGGTATTACAATTACGTAACTGTAATTGATTTTAGATGCTGTGTAACAGTATTCGGCCTGCTTTCTAGTAATTTTGAAAAGCAGAAGGTACTAGAAAGATCTAAGTGACCGGATGAAAAACTATATGAGACCGGAGAAGACATCTGCCGTTAGTTGGTTTTGTGTTTCTTGTTGCGAGTTGTTAGCTTAGCGTGAAACGGAGTCCTGAGATATATCTGGGTTACCTTCGTGCTTTAGATGCGCTTTGCATTGCGTCATGTTTAACATTTTTAGCAGTTTGAAGTGTACTTCGTTGTATTTTAAAGAGTTGTACGACTATTTTTGTGGACTGTTCCAGATCTCTGAAGTATTTCATTTGATAAAGTAAATTTTTTCCTCTTCATTGGAGCTGTGTGCATTCAATATGTTTTTCTAACCTGCACGCAAGCAACAATACTTATTTTTCAAAGTTCACCAACATGCATGTCATATGAAAGAATAATGGTATAACTTTTCGTAAGTTAATTATGAATCACTACTATTTTACTCCTTTATGAGTGCAAGTAATTCTAATGTTTTTAGTCTATTATTTACAATTAATATTCAAATGTTATTCGGGATTCAGCGTATTTAAAAAAATGTGTATAATTTGTTAAATCCATTGCTAAATACTGGGGAACAGTTTGCAAAACTGCTTCTGTTGAATTCGAATTTGGAGGTGCTTTAGAGTTAAATAGGCATGACGATTTCAAGACTGTAGTTAGTTTCCTTCTATCACGTCAAGTTTTTCTCTTTCACGTCAAGTTTTCTCCTTCTATCACGTCAAGTTTTTCATTCACCTTATGTGAATGTGACCGCTTTCCAGAGCCCCGAGTATGGAATATAGAAAGTACTATAGAAAGCTCTGCTACTGGCTGACACAAACTCACTGATTAGCGCCGGGTGACGCCGTAGGAGACCAACGATTGGTGCATACTTGTCTAAATTAGATCACTTACGTCTGAGATACTGTTGTACTCAGACGTTGTGAATCGCTCTGGTATAGTGAAGCGCAATCCGATGTGGAGTCTGAGTCCATCCTTATATAAAAGATTAACAGTGTTAATTTTTATTTATACATGAACTGAAATCTTTCCTTATGTCTCCCTCTGCAGGATAACATAGTAAGTGTTTAAAGAGTCCCGATGCATTTTTATATGTATAACAATTTTACGATCCTATTGAAAGGATAAGCATTAGTACATTTCTTAGGCGAGCCTATTTTGACTATTTTAAAGTGAAAACTGGTGATATATATAAATCATGGACCCTCATAATGTGTGCAAGCAGTGTGTCGAGACTTTACCGACGTGGATGAAGGGAACATTTTCTAAATTTCCATTTGGTAAACTTATGATTTCTTAGAGCCCAATGATCACGCAAGTGATTGTTACTTTGGTATAGTGA